CTTGAGTTTTAAGCCACCGGGTCCGGGACACGAATCACGGTTGACTACGTGGGAGTCCAGCGACATAGCCATTACGCTAACTGCTGGTTCCCTGTAAGTTTGTTTCTTAAGCACACACGTGCCTCTTCATCCTCCCATGTTCTGGTATGTTCACTGAGTCCAGAAAAGCGAGGCCCGGGGGAGAGGAGTAGGGCCTTTTCTCTCCTGACAGGACCATCCACACACCGCCTCGAGGTTTCCGCGCATGCTGGGACTGAGCCCGCACTCCCACAGGCCATCCGAGAGCTGTTTCCGCTTACGGCCGTGGGAAGCCAGCAGCCCCAAGTACACGCGGGCGGGGTTCTGGGCTCAGACGTGCTGTCGGCACCTAGAACCACGCATGCGTGCTGCAGGTGTGGGAACGTGGGGGGCTGCTGGAAGCTCAGGTGGCCACTGACCCGAGAGCGGGTTTTAATGAGCTCAGCCGACATCGTAGCCGCTGCTTAAAGGGTTTTGCTGTAGTGACGTGTGGCATTTCACCCACCCGCTGAAGGGAAGGAAGATGGTAGCTCGAACGTTTTTTCTCCTAACGGAAGCCCGTCTTAGGTGGGTGGTTAAGAACTTTGGCCTCTGAACTCTCTGGGGTCAGACACTGGCTGCTCTACTTACTAATGACGTGCAAGGGTAGCACCTACATTGTCGAGCCGCGATGGGGAGGTGGCGAGTGAGCAGGAGGCGTGCGTCCGACCTCCACGCGTGCTCCACGTGTGCTCCACGGCCCAGAGGGGACTCCGACGTCCTCACCGCGGGGGCTCATGTGCATGTGAGGGGTTCGTACTTCCGGGAGTCTACTGAAACACACGGAGTACCTCGTTTTATATTGAAGTACCTATTTCAAAAATGTACGTGTAATACAGTGAACACCTATGTACCTATTCCAGCCTAAGAAATAGAACTTCCTAGGATCTTAAAAGGCTTTTTTGTGTCTCACTCCTAGAGGCTGGCTTGCTTGCTTGCTTGCTTCCTTTCTTTTTTTTTTTTCAGAGAAGTTTTTGCTATAGGGCATGTGCGCTCACCAGACAGAGAGAGAGAGACAGCAAGAAATCACCCCCCTGGGGGGATGGCCACGCCGCAGTCCCTTCTCCTCCGCTCCCCTCTCGGGATCGTGGGCATGCACGCACACGCACCCGGCGTGAGTTAAGCAACTGGGTCTGGGACTTGAATTGCGGTCGACTACATGGGAGTCCAGCCACATAGCCATTACGCCAACTGCTGGTCCCAAGAGGTATTATTTCTAATAATTATAGAACCATTCATTTTAAAAATTCTTCCCTGTGTCAGTTTTGCTACTCTGTGTTTTTTACAGGAACCTGTTGATTTCATCTAATTTTTCTCTTTTTAAAGAATATTTTTATTCATTATCATTATTATTTTTTTACTTTGACCAAAGAGCAACAGAGAGAGACAGAGAGGGAAGGTGAGAAAGCAAGCTGCCAGGTGCAGGACTCGAGCCGTGGCCGACCGTCTGGGAGCCCAGGACCTCGGCAGCTACACTTGCTGACCCCGTCTGGTTCTCAGATGTAGCCTCTCGTTAGGTCTGTGCGAGTCTGGGGGTTCTGCTGCCTGTCCCCACTCCAGAACTGACGTCTCTTCTCTCATTTTTGTCTGGATCACTCTTGCCAGAGAAGCATCGATTTTGTTCGTCTTTTCCAAGAGCTCCCTTTTCGTCTGACCGGTTTACTGTTTCTATGCCCCTGTTTTATTGACTGTCCCTTGTCTGTACTTTCCTCCCTTTACTCTCATGGCTCATTCTGAGAACCCTTTTCTTCCTTCTGTGGGGTTCCCCACTCACGCATTTCTCTTTCTCTTACCAAGTTCAAGGCTACCTGTTGTCTTCTGCTGCCGTGTTAGCTGGACCCCACTGGTGTGGAGATGGGGCCAGTCCTAAATGTCTTCTCGCTCCCATTGATTTATCGGTGCGTGAGTTACTTACTGGGGCGTATTAAATTTCCACATGTATTCCATTTCTCTAATTAGCTTTTGCTATTGATTTTTAACTTAATGAGTTCTAATCCAAGAGTATATTCTGTATGGTACCAGTTTTTTTCTACATTGTTGAGACTAGCTTATGGCCTAGCATGAAGTCTGCTTTTATAAATGGTCTTTGAGTTCTGGAAAAGAATATGTTTCCACTTGTCAGGTCAGTGTTCTATAGGAAAGCCTTAAGCTCAAGTTTATTAATTGTGCTGTTCAAAATTATATACATCCTTTCTGAGGTTTTTCATTGCTTGATCTTTCAGTTACCGAGAACAGCAATTGTTTCATTCTTGGAGGTCTGTCCCTGTTTGGTTTGAATGTTTGAGGCAGTTTTCTTTTTTTTGGGAGAGGTTTTTGCTATAGGGCACATGCACTCGCCAGAAAGACAGAGAGACAGAGAGACAGAAAGTGAGAAATCATCCCCCCCCCGCCCCCCCGGGGGATGGCCATGCAGCAATTCCTTCTCCTCCATTCTCTTCTTGGGATCTTGGGCACGCATGCACATGCGCCCGGCGTGAATTTAAGCCACCGGTTCCAGGACTCGAACTGCGATAGACTACATGGGAGTCCAGCAATGTAGCCATTACACTAACTGCTGGTCCCAGTTCTTAACTGTTAAGATGTTACATCTTCCTGTTGTTTGAACCTTTGTATCAGTTTGAATCAGAGAAATAGTGACCGATGCCTTTTGCCTCGAGGTTGACCCACTTTGTCTGATTTAATTAGCTGAGCCATCTTTGTGTGGTCACCACTGTGTGCTATGTCGTTTTCCACCTTTCACTTCACACTTTTCGTTTTCCTGGTGTTAAGCACATCATTTCGAGCCACTGGGGGCAGGATTTTCTTTCCTCTCCTCTGTCTGTCGTTGGAGAGCGTGTCCCGTTCTGTGCAGCCAGACCTTCCAGCTCCTGTGGCTGGTCTCAGACCACCGTGATGAAGCGAACGTGGCAACACCGCACATCACGCGAGGCTTCGGGTTTCGTGTGCATGTAAAGTTACGCACACCGAGGGACGTTAGGAACGTGCAGTACGCGTTCAGGCTGGGCTTGCGTGGGAGACGTCCGCAGTGACATTGGTGGTCAGACCTTTTCTGGGGGCGGGTCTCTCGCCCTGCCACTGGTTACCGTTGCCCAGGGAGCTGGGTGCTGAGAGGTTTGGGGTCACGATGGCCATTTCCTAAGTAAGAGACAGTGAAGTTCGCACACGGTCACCTTTCTCTCACACGCCTAGCCCGCGTGCTGCTCGGTGGCAGCCTACCTGCGGTAGGACTTCTTTCCCAGCTGCAGTTAGTCCTCTCGTGGTGGAGTCCACGTGGTGGAGGAAGTAAGGATTGCTCGGGCAGACTGAAGTGGAGCCAGGGATGCAGCTGCATGGCTGCGGTCTCAGCAGGTGGAAAGTGGCTCCTTATGGCCGAGCGGAGGAAGCAGCTTCTCCCTGGCCCTCTGCCCTGGAGCCCTCGGTGCTGGGGGCCTAGACGGCGGGTGGTCGGTCCTGACAGTGGGCATGCTGTGACGTGCGGTCACCAGGCTCGGTCTGCCATTCCTGGGGCACGGGCAGGCGGTGGAGGTGCTCCGGGGCCCTCAGCGACGGCGCAGGGGCGGCGCATTCCATTAGCAGACAGCCCCACTGCTCTCGCGCTTGCAGAGCATAACCACGGCCTTTCCTTCCTTCCAGCCTGATCACGCGCATGCTCCAGAGAGACCCCAAGAGAAGGGCATCGTTAGAAGAGATCGAAAACCACCCATGGCTCCAGGGCGTGGACCCGTCGCCGGCCACGAAGTGCAGCATCCCCCTGGTGTCCTACAAGAACCTGTCGGAGGAGGAGCACAACAGCATCATCCAGCGCATGGTGCTGGGGGACATTGCGGACCGGGACGCCATCGTGGAGTACGTCGCGCTCGGTCCCGGGGTGGGAGTCGCGTTTCTCTCCGCCGTCCTGGCTGGGCCTGACAGCGGGCTTCTGGCTTTCTGGTCGTGTTCTCGTGTGCAGCGAGCCCTGCTGGCCATGCCTGAGTGCGGTGGCCTTCCTCTGTCCTGCACACTGCGTCCAGCCCCGCCTCGGCCGTAGCAGGCTTGTCTTCACCCCTGCGTTTGCAGGCCCTCCAGCGAGTAGGGAGGCAGGGTTGCCCAGCGGGCAGTCCCAGGTTTTCACAGTGAAGTTTAAAGGCCCCCAGCCTCCCGGGCGGTTGGGAGGTGTCCCTGGTGGCCCACACCGGAGGGGCACAGGGCCTCCAAGGAGCCGAAGGTCTTTGCCGCCCCCCTCGGCCCCACAGCGACTGCAGGTCACCCGGCAGTTAATTGGCTTTAGAGCCAAAGTGGGTTCTTAGCGACCTAAGCAGTCTGGAAGCAAAGAGGAGCTGAAGGGAAGGCACAGGTGCTTCGCTCTGTCTGATCCAGACGGGCTCGGCTGTGAAGAGATGGGTCATTCTGCGTTCTCATAAACGACAAGTCGAAGGTTGATGCTGGCTGAAGTATCTGGGTGTCAGCAGAGGCTGGTTCCCGTAGGGAGGGATTCCCACTGAGGCCTGGCTGGGAGTCGGGCCCAGTCACTGCCCCGTGGGGAGACCCTGCAGACCCACCTGTGTATCACCCCGTCCAGGCATAGCGGCGGGAGGCCCCGTCCTGAGAAGAGGGGTGCCCGTGGTGCCCTGGAAAGGAGAGAGCGCCCGGCCTCAGTCTGGCCTTAGCACAGACTTCTCAAGCTTCCTGGTACGTCCCGTGTCCCCGCAGGCTGGCCCACAGCTATGTCAGTGAGTGGCAGGCCGGGAGCGGGACAGTTGCTGTTTAGTGACACTCTGGGGGCCTGTGAAAAGGCTGGCTGTGTCTTCCTAAGCCTGCTGTTCTCTGAGGACACGCACGTGCACGCGCTGTCCTGCGGGACACTGAGGGTGCGGGCTCACGCAGGCCCACGGCCGTGCTTCCAGTGAGTTGGGGCCTGGCCTGGCTGCTCGTGTGTGGTACAGCTGGGAGACCGGCTTGCACCCCCCAGCTCGGCTCCCTTCCTGTGCACAGTGTGAGGGCCGCTGTCGTGTGGCGGGCCCGGGGCTCGACG